AGCCATGGACATATTGCATGTAGAGCAGAGTCCTGATCAAACTTTCATGGTCATGATGGCTGCTGTATCGTGAATGTGTTGGAAGTGGTCAAGATTAAATGAACAGGGACAAGATAGACAGCTTGGAGATGCCAGGCAAAAGGTAACAGGAGCCAGGGCTGCTGAGTGGTCCTAGAGAGAAGCTGATAGATATTAGAGATGTGCAGGGAGAAATCCACAGGGTTTGGAAAGTGATTAGATTGGGTGGGAAATGAAGGACAGAGAATTGCCTAAATCTGGGATCTAAGGTTCACCTTCTACTATTAGATGAATAGCAATGCAAAGTCACAGAGATAGTTGGTGGAGAACCTCATAAAACTCATCAAAGGGCCTCATTCTGTGAACTACAAGACAATTCAAGGGACACATCCTCTGTCCCCCAAGTGAGGACATATCACACAGAAATGGGAGATGCCTCATGTCCGTCAACGGCAGGGCTGATGCAAGTCACCAGTTCTGTGGCAGAAAACTAAAAGCTAAGAACAGGGAGGAGCCTGGAGGCTGGAGACCTGAGTACACAGAGGCCAGTTGGGCTGCAGGGGACTTGTGGAGCCCAGGCAGGTACAGTGGGAAGCTGGTTAAAAGTAGCACAGCTGTGTGCAGAGACAGGCAGTATGGCAGGACCTGAGGATGGGCCCTGAAGAAAGACAAAGCTGGGTTTGAATCCTGGATCTGCCACTCCCCAGGTGAGTGGCCTTGGGCAGGCATCTCAACCTGTCTGAGCTTCCCATCTGTATTAGTTCATTCTCATACTGCTAATAAAGACATACTCAAGACTGGATAATTGATAAAGAAAAGAGGTTTAATTGCCTCACAGTTCAGCAAGGCTGGGAAGGCCTCAATCATGGCTGAAGGCAAGGAGAAGCAAAGTCATGTCTTACATGGCAGCAGGCAAGAAAGCGTGCACAGGGGAACTCTCCTTTATAAAACCATCAGGTCTTGTGAGACTTATTCACTGTCATGAGAACAGCACAGAAAAGACCTCTCCCACCTCCGTGATTCTATTACCTCCCACCGGGTCTCTCCCACAACACATGGAGATTATGGGAACTACAATTCAAGATGAGATTTGAGTGGGGACACAGCCACACCATATTACCATCTGTGTAAGGAAGGTTACCTTGGCATTCACCTTAAAGTGAAGACTGGATGAGATGATGGGGAGAAGAACCAAACACAACTCACAGGTGACAGGTGTTCAATGAACCTGCTACTGTTGTTGTTACATTATCATCATAAGTGGAGCAAACATCAAACCTAACACCGAAGCAAAACAAAAGTCAGGGCAGCCCCTGCAGAGCAGTACAGGCTCTAGGGTCCCAGGGGAAAGGAGGCAGGTAGCGGAGGCTGAGCTCCGGTGTCCCTCTTTTGCTTTCATAAAGCTTCAGGTTTCTAAACAAATCACAAGCACTCAATCTGAATAATTATAGAAAGTCAAGGACCAACCTCTCACTCTGCAAAGCAGCAACTGCTAGTAATGAACCATGATTCTGCAGCCAGTCATAGTCTGACCTTGGCCACAGCCAGAGCCAGTAGCCTTTGTTAGGTCTGGCTTGCAGATGTGTTTTGTTTGGCCTTCACATTGTTTTTTGTTTTTTTTGTAATTAGCAATAAACATTTAACATTTGGATTCGCCACATTAAAATGAGAATTTTCTGCTTCTACTGAGAGACCAGAAGATCTGACAAAGCTTGAGTTCACATGTCAACAGGGTTGGAGACCCCTGGACCTAAGGAGTGGCTGTCTTTGACAAGAGACACCTGCTTTCCGAGTCACCAGAGTCCTAGGGTGACTCTTAATGGTTTCTGTATTTTCTTATACCTACCCCACCTCTCTGACTTTCCTGAGTCCTGTAGCCTTGAGAGTTTTTGAAACCTTTATCTAAAGCAATGGTTATCAATCATGTTCCAGGTAGAAACACTATTTTTCTTTAAAGTGGATAAAACATCATTAACATGGACCATTGACAGTATTTTCCAAGTACTCACAGCCACGCACAAGGACACATGTGTGCTCATGCTAAGCAAAGCTTATTGATGAGTTTTCTGAACTTTTTCTCCAATAATGTTCTTTAAAGTCTTAAGCTTGTCTATACTAGAATCTGCCGTCAGCAGCAGTTTGGGCTCCCATTTACCTCTTTTTTTTTTTTTTTTTTTTTTTTTTTTTCATCTCGAACCCATCTATCTTTCACAGTTCTTCTCCAGGTGTTTTGCCACCTGAATGCTTCTGAGACGCACTTGGCCAAAAGTTCTGGTTCAAAAGAATCAAAAACTCTTCTAGGCCCCGAGGGAAATGTCTTTTGACAATTCCTCTTCTCTGTTCTCCCTTGATGAGCTCGGGAGGAGGTAAAGAGACACATAGGAAAAATCTGCCTGTTCTATTAAAACAAAACAAAATAAAACAAGGCTGAGAAATAGTAGACAGGGAAGGTATTTTGCCTCAGTAGCAAAATCAACTACTTGCGGAATTTCATTTACCAGAGGATACGGTGTTTTCTTAAATATTCTGTAGTGATTAGCTGGCAAAATCTCAAACATTTTTTAACACAAGTTGTCTTTGGTCAATAAATACCAGAACTGAAATGTCCTGGGGGTGGAGATTTATGATCTAAGCACAACAAACACACCCATAAATTAGGCAGAGAAAGCTCTCAGGTAGCCTGAGCAGGCATTATGCAGATCTCAGCAGAGGCCCGGGAAGGAAGCCTGGGGGTCCTGGCAGGGCTGAGCTCCTATCAACCTGTGTGAGGAAGGGACGGGCTTTCGAAGGCTCCATTTCTTCATCCACAAAAGAATGAATGCTTTGGCTTTGCACTGTTGAGTTTCTCTTTTTCTAATCATTGGAAATTTTTCCTTTTCTATTGTTCACAGACATTTGCAAAGACAGACATGTTGTGAAGGACCTGGGGAACCAGGCTGAAATTGTGGCTGGAGCACTCAGCTGTTTGTGCTTGGGCAAGTCTCTTAAACGCTCCAGCATTTTGCATCGTTCTCTGAAAAGTGAGGATAATAATACCAACCCCACAGGACGACTGTGAGGATTAAATCAGATAATGTTGTGAAACTCTTAACACAGTGGCTTGCAAAATTTCACTTATAGATAACATTTATTAAAGTGTCTGGCACCGTGTAGGTCTTCTATAAATTACCCTTAGCCCTTTCCAATGTGCGAAGTTAAGGGAAAATGTAGATGATGCTCTACAATAAATAGTAGCTTCGTTCAGAAGCAAACTTGACTAAAGCTTTTTGTGGTTTATCTTGATATGGAATCCAGTTCTGATAATTGGGCTTCTCTTGAGTCCCAAGATCCAGTCTCACCTTGAATTTAGTTTGTTTACTCTCTGTTCCCTCCCAGGCTTATTCTCCATCTCTGGCTTTTCCAACTCTGAGTCTATGCTCTCTTCTCCTCCCTCCCGTGGCCTCCTCTCCCCTCCTTTCTTCTTCCCTCTCCTCCCTTTCTTTTACCTTCCCCTCCCTTCCTCTCTATAGTTTAGTCAAAACACTCCCTCATTATCTCAAGTGCTTCCATGGTTTAGGTTACTGTCTATGTATCCTGAAGACTCCAAGGGACCTGTAACTCCCCCCGGCTTTCTCTTCTGGGATAGACAGGTATCCCAGGTACCCCTGTCCAGACAACTCTTCCACCTGACATTTCCTCCAGGATGTGTCACAGGGGTCACAAATGCAATGTCACCCACACATATCTCCGGATCCTTCTTTACCATTCTCACAGTCATGTCCAGCCTCTCCCGTGTGCTGGGCCTTTTGTAGGATTTGGAGGAGGCAGCAGTGTGTCTGGACTTGGTGGTGCTCACACCTGGTCCACCCCTGCACTCCTCATCTGGGTAAATGCCCCCAGTGACATAACTGTGGCCCAGGTTAAATATCTGAGAGGCCATGATCATGCCTTCCTCTCCTGCATACAAACGTCTCCCACATCCTGTGGACTTTACTTCCTAGACACCCTTCATGTCTGTTTATTCTGTCCGTTTCTACTGCCCCATCTTATTTTAAACCACTCTATTCTGTCACCTGGGTGACTGTGGCAGGCAGCCTTTCAGTGGAATGCTGCATTTCCCCAGCCACATCCCACAAAGCATGGAGAATAACTAAATACACAAGCCTGGTCAAGTAATCCCCCTGCTCAAAACTCCTGCAGCTTCCCACGAACTTCAACATAGAATCCAATGTCTTAACCAGCTTCCAAGGTGCTTCCCCGCTCAGACCCCTGCCTCCATCCCTGGTATGTCTCCAGCTTCCCTTCCTGCCCTTCCCACACTAGACTTGATGTTGTTTGTTTGTTTTTTGTTTTTTTTTCTTTGGAGATGGAGTCTTGCTCTGTCACCCAGGCTGGACTGCAGTGGCTCGATTTCAGCTCACTGCAACTTCCGCCTCCTAGGTTCAAACAATTCTCCCTGCCTCAGGCTTCTGAGTAGCTGGGATTACAGGTGCCCAACACCACGCCTGGCTAATTTTTGTAATTTTAATGGAGACAGGGTTTCCCCACGTTGGCCCGGCAGGTCTTGAACTTCTGACCTCAGGTGATCTGCCCACCTCGGCCTCCCAAAGTTCTGGAATTACAGGTGTGAGCCACCACACCCAGCTGACTTTATGTTGTTTCAGGTTCTCTAATATGTTGTGATCCCCTTTGCTTCCAAACCTGTACTGGACCAGACTCTCCACTGCCTGGAAGACTCTCCCCTGACCGTTCCCAATTCCTGGCTCAGGAGTCAGCTGAAAGGAGACCTTCTCATAAGCTGTTTCTGCGATTTCCTACCCTCAATACATCCTTTTGTTCTACACTTCCACACCATCCTCCACTCTTTCTTAGGAGCTCTTTGGCACTTGCAATTGTTTAATGAGTTCTAGGACGCAATGGAGCCTGAGACAATGTCTCTTCACATGTGCCCCAAATCACTCGGGCAGTAAGCCTTAGAAAAATGCAAAGTTGGGGAATTCCTGGGAGGTGGGGTCTGGAATTTTATATTTTTAACAAGTTCCACAAGTGAATCTAAGCACAGCAAACTCAAAGTGCTGTTGCCATGAGTACTTGGTCCATGGGACAGGGGGTGATTTCTTCTCTGGACTCAGGGATACTGCAGGAAGGAAAGCCTGTACCCGGCACAAGACCGCAGAACGTCCTGGGAAGCTTCTCCCTCCTCAGGTTCTCTGCTATTACTGCATGGGTCGGACTTCCAGCTGTCTCCTGATCACTCGAGACAAGCACGTATGTCACAAAATGTGAAGAGTTTTCTGAAAGTGTCAGCATCTTCTTTCTTCTTTCCTATCCTAGGGGGTCTGCCACTTAGATTGCTCTGCTTGGACATTCTTCTGACACATGCATAAGCCTCACGGACAATAAAACCCCCCTATCCAAAGTTATGGGTCTGGAGGGGGCAAACGGAAAAGGCCAGCCTTTCCATTTATGAAATCCGACTTCCTTTCAAGAAGAGTCACATCTGTGACATCTGTTCCACTGTTCCTTTGAACAGCTGCTTAAATCTTGGTGTAGCACAAAATGCAGAGATGGTCAAAGCAGACATTGTTTGGTGATTACATGAACCTGGAGAAGTTTCTTCATTTCTCTGGCATTCTAATTTCTCTTCTGTACAGAAACAGGTAGAACACGTACCTGGAGGGGGATTGAAACGTGCAACGGTGCTGGACACAGGGAAGCCTCTTGTAGATGTTCACCGCCCTCCCAGCCTCCCTCTCTGCCAAGTGCACATCGCCTCCAGCATCCATAGGGGCCAGCTACCTTCTGACGGTGACCTCACTCTTGCCCCTAGGTACATGCTACAGCCATCTTTGAACCAGGTAGAAGCACTCCCTGCTATGGTAAATTGCTCTATCCAATGCTTATCTCATTTTATCCTCTCTTAAAGATCGAAAGGACACGTAGCTTCATTTTCCATAGAGGAAATCTGGAAACCTAGAGCTGTACATTTTTTTCCAATGATCAATTAGTGATTTATCAGGATTCAGGTCGTGGCTCTACCCCTTGCTAGCTGTGTGATACAAGACAAGAACCCCAATGACATCCCTGCAAATGTCAGTCATGTACCTGGTTCCAGGTGCTGGTCAGAGTGTTTGGCTGACTCTTCCCCTTTCCCTCACTTTGCAATAATGGTCTTAACTTTACAGGGGAGAAAAAGGAGGCTGGGTGGAGTAAGCCTGTTTCCCGAGCCTTTACTCCTGGGAAAAGGTTGTGGGACAGCAGAGTCAGCAAGTCACTCTCACTCTCTACCACAGTGGTTGCCTTTCTAAGCCATAGTTAGTCCCATGTGGGAATCTAGTGAAATTTTAATAAGCAAGGCAATGTATGGGAAATACTTACCACAGCACATGGCCTTGGTGAGTGTCAGGGCATGCTGCTTGTTATGTCTTAGGCTCTGCAGGTGCTGGGAACTTGGGCATTTCCCTTCATCAAGGTGGCCCACTGATGGGAGTGTGATCATCGGCTTTGTTCCCTGCTTGCGTGGCCTGGAAGCTCCTCTCGTGGCCTCCAGCCTTGCCCCAGGCTCTTTCGAATGCATCAATCCTACTGGAAGCGATTGATTCTTGTGGCTCCCATGGCTGGTCATGGGCCTTCAGTGCTTGCCTCCACACCCTGGTTAAGAAAGGCATGGAGGGGGTTCTCAGTGAGGAGCTAGTGTTGGGCTGGGCCCCCAGCCTGTTGCAGGCACTGTGGAGGGAATGGCTCCTCCAGGGGCCCCTCACCTGCTGCAACTCCCCACCAGCCCCTAACTTGTGCAGGCTTCTTGCAGAATGGGCTCTTGATCTTTCTTCTCCATCTCAGCCTGGGCTCTCCCTGCTCCTCACATGGGGTAATTTGATAGCCTTCTGAATGGCTCTCTACATCCGGGCTCTAGAGCAGGGGTCAACACAGGATAGCCTGTGGTCAAATTCAGCCCTTAGTCTATTTTCATAGCCCTCGAGCTAAGAATATTTCTGCATTTCTAAAGAGTTGTTAAAAACCAACCACATGACAAAAATACAGAAGAATATGCAACAATGACTGACCACAAAGCCGTTTACAGATACTGTTTGCAGACACTTGCTCTAGACCATTCTTCACATTGACCTTCTTGCCCAGCCTCAAGGTCTCACCCTGATCCCACCCAACACCTCACATCCTGTCTCTACCCTGCTTAAAAATCTTTAAGACACCCTGTGTGCAAAAAAAAGCACCCTGAAGGTAGTCTGAGAAGATCTGGATTTAAATTCCAACTCTGATACTTATTAGCTATATGACCCTCTTGAATTTCAGTCTCTTCCTATGTGCAATAGAGTTAACAGGGCAAACCAAGGAGGTTATTTGGGGACCTGATGATTTTAAGGTGTGAAAATGCACTCTGAGCTACACAGAGCTATTCAAAATATGAAATTTCATCATAACTGTTTTGTCCATGGGCAGTGTCCACGCCCCAGGGCCTGCTTTGGACTCTGTCTCCAGCTGAGGACCCAGTTTGCTTTCTAAACCTCATTCCTTGTGACTTTCCACATGACATCCCAACCCACATGCCACATGGCTTTGTTCTCACCCTGCCTTGGTTGAAATGCTCTTCCCAGTATCATCTTGCATTTGAGCCCTACCTGGTCTTTAGATTTCATACCCAGCTCAGTGGCAGGTGCCTCCGATGTGTGGATCCTGGAATCTGCATGGGGACACGTGGAGACATGGAGGCAGGAGGAGTCTTCAGCACTCAAATCGTTTGTTCTCTAGCCTGAGAAGGCATTAACCATTTCAATCTGTGCGCTGGTCTTAAATCTTCTCCTCCCTCTCTTTTCTTTCTCTTCTTTTTCTTTCCAACACTCCAACATGAAAAAGTGCCTGCTGTGCAGTAAAAATATTTTGGCTGCCTCCCTTTTAAAAATGTTCTAAAAATACACAGACGCATCCACATGCACACATGGCAGGCTCTGACGATTGCCTTCCAGGTGACGGAAACAAACCCTGAGCTTGTGCCCCTCCTTGGGACCAGCGCGGGGAACTCCTGGCCCAGCCTTCCAGACAGGCACCTAGTTAAGGGGCAGGGCAGTAGCATTTGATATGGAGCAAAAATTTGCCCTTTTTTCTGACCATTCTCAATGCTGTAGAACTCTCAATTATTTGTAGAAATTGGAAGAAGCCAGATGATGTAAATAAAGGTAGAATATGACTCATGCTCCTCCTTTGTGTTTTAAGATCTGCTCAAGGAAATAAAAAATGTTGAAACTCTTGCCTTTTTTAAACCCTAGGTTTCTTGCCTGAACTCGAATAAACTTTTGTTTCACCCAAAGAGAGGCAGCCTGGAGTCCTGCAAAATCATTAGGTGGGGAGCCAGCACGATGAGGTTCTCATTGTCACCCTGCCACCGCCTCTAACAAGTCCTAGGTTGTCTCTGAACCTCAGTCTCTTTACCCAAAATTTAGAGGCTTTAATTAAGTGACCCATTAGATTACTTCTAGCTGTAAAAATCTGTGGTAGATCAGCTAGAATTGTTAGTATGATATAAGGCATAATATGGGTTTAGAAACAGTATTTATTTACTACTAATAGTTATAACTTCACAGGATGATGCCTACAGTTCTCATTCAATAGACTCTTTCTTTCTTTTCTTTTCTTTTTCTTCTTTTTCTGAAACAGAGTCTTGCTCTGTCACCTAGGCTGGAGTGCAGTGGTGCGATCTCAGCTCACTGCAACCTCTGCTCCCTGGGTTTAAGTGATTCTTGCGTCTCAGCTTCCTGAGTAGCTGGGATTACAGGTATGCACCACCACGCCCAGGTATTTTTTTTGGCATTTTTAATAGAGATGGGGTTTCACTATGTTAGCCAGGCTGGTCTCGAACTCCTGGCCTGAAGTGATCCACCTGTCTGGGTCTCCCAAAATGCTGGGATTACAGGCATGAACCACCATGTCCAGCTGACTCTTTTTAAATAAAATTATTACTGTTATTATTACTTGATACAGGGTCTGGCTCTGTCACCCAGGCTGGAGTACAGTGGCACAATCTTGGCTCATTGCAACCTCCGCCTCTTGGACTCAAGCAGTCCTCCTACCTCAGCCTCCTGAGTAGCTGGGATTATAGGCGTGCACCACGATATCTGGCTAATTTTTGTATTTCTTGTAGAGAATGGATTTTTTCCTGTTGCCCAGGCTGGTCTCCAACTTCTGAGCTCAAGGGATCCTCCTGCCTTGGCCTCCCAAAGTGCTGGGATTACAGGCTCCCATGACCCATAGTGCCCCAGCCATGTTCAATAGACTCTTTACACTGGGGTAGGTGCTGTGGCCACAGCAAAGGGAAATGTGCATTTATTTATTCAGTGACCAAATGTTTATGATCTGCCATCGTGGTTGGCATCATTCTCATTTTATAGAAGATAACACTGAGGCTAAGTGAAGTTGGAATTACTATTCATACTCATACCTATAATACTGGCTCATTCTACTTAGCTCATCTTAGGGCCCTATTCTCAATAAGCATTCCCATAGTAGGCTTTCAACTTACTGATTCTTCAAGTCATTCTTAAGTGTAAAACAAGTTCTTTCTTACGATACATTATTAAATAAAGTAAGCTATTAGGTTGGTGCAAACTTAATATTTTGGATTGCAATTATTTCAATATACCACTTCATGTGATATTTTGGGACTGCCTTTGAGTGAGGTCTATCGCTTGTATTGTGCCTCAGTAAAGCCCCATTTAGAGCTCTTCTGTAATTCAGTCTTTCAGAAAATCAGGACTCTTTAATAAGTCCCCGATTTGCTCATTCTTGAACATCATTAGTCACTACGTTAAAGAGGCTTTCATGATCAATGTGTTTTGGAAATATGACTAAACAAAGTAAGGGTAGTGCCTTTACAGCAGGGCCTCTTGCATCCTGTGATGCACGGGCATGTATCTGAGATCTCCATGAGGGTGTTACCATTTGCTTCTTTGACTTTTCCCAAAGTCTTTTACTCTAGAAAGTACTATCATGGAGCATCTGGCAGCACTGGTATTCACAGAAATCTGTGTTGCCCCCAGTTAATCTTAATTTCTCTCACTGGCACTGTATCTGTGGGGTTTTGCTGCAGTGTAAAAGGGAATAATGACTATTTGTTATATTTTAGACACTTCACGAATTTCAAAGCATTTATCTCATATGGTTCTTAAAGCCATCTTGAGAGATGGATATGATTACTCCATTGTATTCACAAAGTAGTGAGAATTTTAGTTTAGAATGGTGCGCCAAATAAATACTACAACTTTTCCCCACTTCTCTGAACACATAAGGAAGATAGGAATAATATTAGTAAGCCATACTAAATACATGGCAGTGAGCTGAAACAAGAATGGGCAATCTACAGATACCAGAAATAGAAATATTTCCTGAAAAGGAGGGTGCTGAGGATGGTTACTAGGGGCTGAATCACTGGGGCCCAAGAGGGTGCTGGGAAAAGAACCCAGAGCCATGCACAAGGCTGGGCTGAGGGTTTCAGGTCCTAGGAGGGGTAGGGGACCACATCTGGCAATCTAGGTGTGGCAAAGGACCGCAAACTTGCAGTGGGGACTGAAAATCTGCCCCCACTCATTTCTAGAGTCTGCAATTGCTCTGTATCTGCCTACCAAGTGCTGTGGCTGAAGCCCTGGTCCTGGAACTTGAGAAGTGCCTTCTGCATGGGGCAGGGTCTGGAGCCACCATAAGAGTAGGAGGTGTCTGGAAATAAGTTCTTCATGTGGGGTTGGGGCTGAACTTAGACATGTGCAGAACCCAGGTTTAGAGCCGTGATAATGCATCTTGGGGGTTCCTGGAATTCAAAGAAGGGAAATCACCCAGGGTGGTGATGACCTCACAACTAAGAATTACACAACACTGGAGGAGGACAGAGCCCAAGTGAGACAAACAAAAACACAGCACAGAGGAATATGTATCCGGTGAAAAGAAGGGAACTTAGAGAATCTGAAAAGACACGTGAAACATTTTTTAATATCCTGAAAGAAAGGAGAGAAAGCAACCATGGCAGGAGGAAAGAAGGCTCTGGAGGAAAAGAAGTCTTGAAATAAAAACAGAAAGTTAGGGAAGGCAGTGATAAATTACATACATAAAAATACATTTTTGAAAATCACAAAAGTACCTTTAAAGATGTGCTGGACAGACGAAACCTCCAAGACCATAGCAGTACAAAGAGAAAACACATTAGAAAAGTCAGGAGACATAGAAGATGGGTGGCCCTGTGACACAAGTTCGGTGGGGTTTCTAGGAAAAGCAAATGAATAGAAGAAAGCACAGGAGACCTCTACAAATGTGCCATGTGGATATTCCAAGGACTGACTGATGTCGTCTAGAAAAACCTCCAAACATAAAGAGTAAAAAGAAAATGCTACAAGCCATGAGAGAAAATGGAAACACACACACAGGCATACACAGGTACACGCAGACACACACCCAGATACACACACACATTTTCTGCAAAGGAATGAAAATGAACATTGACATCATTTTCTCATCAGGAATATTAGATGCCGGAAGAATAATTAAGTAATATATTCAAAAAGAAAACAGTTTTCTGTCACAAATACTTTACTCATTCCAGGTAGTTTTCAAGAGTAAGTATAATATAAAATAGAGAAATTTAAAGACAGACAAACCAGCACATTGACTACAGATCCTCTCTGGAAGAACAACACAACCTAGAGCCATCGTCAAACCATGGCCCGTGGGCCCAATCCAGCCGGCACCTGTTTTCGTATGGTCTGTGGGTTAAAATGGATTTAATTTTTTAAATGATTGAAAAGAAATCAAATAAGGATTAACATTTTCTGACAAATGAAAAGTTACATAAAATTCAAATTTCGGTGTCCATAGGTAAAGTTCTGTTGGAACATAAGCATGCCCTCTGGCTTCCCTGTTGCCTGTGGCTGCTTTCCTGCTACAAGGGCAGAGCCGAGAAGCTGTGACAGATGCCAAGTGTTTGGCGAAGCTTGCACTGTTTATTATCTAGCCCTTAACCAGAAAACTGCCAATCCTGAAGGTTGTACTTTAGCAAAAAGAAATATGAACCCAGGAGAAAGGAATTAGATGCTAAAAATGAAAGTAAATAATATACTCAATAAATATTTGGGGAATCCCCAAAATATTTGCTGAGTGTATTATTTGGTACATGATGTAATAGTGATTAATAAAAACAAAATGTGAAAACAAGCTGGAGCTCAATTTTAGACAACAATGAAATGGGGAGGAGTGTTATTTGGAGGCAGTGAGCTCTGCAGATTGTCTTGTTCAGGAAGATGCCAAGATACTGACGATAGCTCTGCCTTCCAGAAAAAGCACTTAATAGGTGATTTAAATTTTTTCAGAGCCATTAATAAATAAACAAAATGTATAGTTTCCAAATGAGTAGAAGTAAAAAAAAAAAAACTATTTAAATGCAATTTCGATCATCTAACAGAAGGAAAAAGGAAAAATTTTAAAAAAGGAAAGTAGAGTAAACAGAAAGCATTAACTAAGAAGGCAGAAATAAATCCAAAATTTTAATAATTCCAATATAAAACAAGTTAAACTCATCAAAACCAGACCTACTAAAATATGGCAAAATTCTGTTTACAGGAAACACAGATAAACAAATAGCTCTAAGGACTGAAAATGGATGGAAAGAGATATCCCAGCAAAATTCTCACTTAAAGAAGGCTGCTGTGTCAATTATTAACATTCATAAAAGAGAATTAAAATGGAAAAAGGGACAACAATGCTACTTGTTGATAAAAGGACTAATGTATAAGTTATGAACTTTCAGAGCCTTTTAAAAATGTAGAAACTATTATAGCTCACCACCTTTACAAAAACAGCCTGTGGTCTGGATCTGTGAAGCTGCTGCTCATGGTTGTTTCAGGGTTGTTAAGTGGTGGCTTTTTCAGTAATAGGATCTTCATTCTAAGAAGAATGAAATAAAATACAAAGGAGAAAGAAGGGGAGAGAGAGAGAAGGAAGAAAGGAAGGAACGAAGGAAGAAAGAAAGGAAGGAAGGAAGAAAGGAAGAAAGGAAGGAAGGAGGGAGGGAGGGAGAGAGCGGGGAGTGGGGGAGAGAGAGAGAGAAAGAAAGAGAAAGAAAGAAAGAAAGAAAGAAAGAAAGAAAGAAAGAAAGAAAGAATAGCTCACCACCTTTTACAAAACAGCCTGTGGTCTGATCTGTGAAGCTGCTGCTCGGTGGTTGTTTCAGGGTTGTTAAGGTGTGGGCTTTTTCAGTAATAGGATCTTCATTCTAAGAAGAATGAAATAAAATACAAAGGAGGGTTAAGAAGTGGTAGAGAGAGGGCGAAGAAAGGAAGGAACGAAGGAAGAAAGAAAGGAAGGAAGGAAGAAAGGAAGAAAGGAAGGAAGGAGGGAGGGAGGGAGAGAGCGCAGGGAGTGGAGAGATAAGTTGCTATAAGCTGTTGTTGTTGCTGTTGTTGTTGTTGCTGCTAAGTTGTTGTTGTTGTTGTTGAAGAAAGAAAGAAAGAAAGAAAGAAAGAAAGAAAGAAAGAAAGAAAGAAAGAAAGAAAGAAAGAAAGAAAGAAAAGAAAGAAAGAAGGGAACAAGAAAAAAGAAAGGAAGAAAGAACATAGAAAGAAGGAAGGAAAGAAAGAAAAAAGGAACACAAATAAATAGCAGTTGCTTGGACAAGGGTGTGGAAGACGCTCAGCTCTCTTTCTGAGTAAGTGAAATAAGCCAGGCACAGAACATTGCATGTTCCCACTTATTTGTGGGATCTAAACATGAAAACAATTGAACTCAAGGACATAGAGAGTAGAAGGATGCTTACCAGAGGCTGGGAAGGGTAGTGGGGGACTGGGGAAGAGACGGGGATGGTTAATGGTTAACTACAAAAAGTAGTTAGAAAGAATGAATAAGACCTACTGTTTCATAGCATAACAGGGTGGCTACAGTCCATAGTAACTTAATTGTACATTTGAAAATAACTAAAAGAGTGTAATTGAATTGTTTATAACACAGAGGATAAATGCTTGATGGAATGGATACTGCATTCTCCATGATGTACTTATTTCACATTTCATGCCTGTATCAACACATCTCATGGATCCCATAAATATATACACCTACTATGTACTCACAAAAAATAAAAATTAAAAATTAAACTTAAAAACTAAAAAAAAAAAAAAAAAAGAAGAAGATTTACCCAGCTGGAACTTTCAGATGCACATCCTTCTTTGTTATTTATGAAAACAAGAACTAACCCCAGATATAAACCCAGAGGTTGTCAGGGAATGAAACTTGACTTGAGACAGATGATGTGGGTTGGTGGGCAGAGGCTGCTGTTGGAGTCCCAGTTCTCCACCAACCTTTATCCTCCTCTGGTGCTTGCATACACAGCAGTTTCTCACTCAATAGCAGTTTCCTTGCTTTTTGGTTATTTTGTTGTCATTGATTTCTAGTTGTGCTGTGACCATGGTTTGCATGATACCCGTTCTGGGAGGAGGGAGGAGGATTAGACTTAGTACAGGATCAATTTCTGTAAATCTTCCATGTGTACTTAAAAAGAGCATATATTCCCTATTGAGTGTACACATTCATGCATCTATCAGTTACATTACCTGCACATCCTGGTTTATGTGCTGTACATCAGCATCTCAATAGTGATATTCAGTCCTATCATATATTTTACTTGTGTTATGACTGTTCTATCATTTTCTGAGCCAAGTGTGTTAGAGATTCTTGCTTGTGTTGGGGATTTGTCCCTTCTTTGTGGTGGTTCTGTTAAGCTTTTGTTTTCTATGTTTCGGGAATTGTATTATTAGGTACTGAAAAAGCATTCTTCCTCCCAAGATCCACTCGCCACTTCTTACTAACATAACCTCTACGTTATTGGAAGGAGCAATGTGCCTAACTTAGAAATGATATTTTCTTCCAAGAAACAGAAAATGACAAGTGTTGTAAGGATGTGTGAAGAAAGTAGAACCCTTGGGCATTGCTGATGGGAATATAAACTGGTTCAGTCACCAGTGGAAAACAGTATGGAGGAGGTTCCTCAAAAAACTAAACATAGGGCAGGGAGCAGTGGTTCACGCCTGCAATCCCAGCACTTTGGGATGCTGAGGTGGGCCGATTACCTGAGATCAGGAGTTGGAGATCAGCCTGGCCAACATGGTGAAACTCCATCTCTACTAAAAATACAAAAATTAGCCCGGCGTGGTGGCACACGTCTGTAATCCCAGCTACTAGAGAGGCTGAGACAGGAGAATTGTTTGAGGCTGGGAGATAGAGGTTGCAGTGAGCAAAGATCACGCCGCTGCTCTCCAGCCTTGTGACACAGCATGACTCTGTCTCAAAAAAAAAAAAAAAAAAAAAAAAAAAAAAAAAAAAAAAAAAAAAAGAAGAAATTAAGCATAAAATTACCATATGATCCAGAAATCTCGCTAGTGGGTCTTATATCCAAAATATTGAAAGTAGCAACTCAAACACCTATTTGTACACCTGTGTTCACAGAATCATTATTCACAGTAGCCAAAATGTAGAAACAACCTAACTATCTGTCTATAGAAGAATGATAAACCAAATGTGGCATATTTATTCAATGGAATCTTATTCAGCCTTTAAAAAGTAAGGGAATTCTGACACACCTTACAAGATGAATGAACCTTCAGGACATGAAGCTAAGTGAAATAATCCAGTCACAAAAGGGCAAATACTACGTGATTCTACTTCCATGCAGTACCTAGTGTAGTCAAATTCATAGAAACAGAAAGTAGAATCGTGGTTTCCAAGGGCTGGGGAAGGGGGACGGGGGACTTAGTATTTCATGGGC